AGAGAGAGAGAGAGAGAGAGAGAGAGAGAGAGAGAGAGAGAGAGAGAGAGAGAGACGCAAGCGTTCATTCAAATGAGGGAGCAAATTAGTGCCAGTTAGATTTCCATGAAGAATTTTCGTGTATTTATGTTGAAAATGGTTGAATCAGACAGTTTTGTTATGCTGCGCTCTTGCAGCTGCTTCGTGTAATTTGTTCCAATTCGTGCAGAGAAGAAGTTCTGTTGCTTATGAGAGTGTAAATCCGAGTGAATGTGTTCAAATGATTAAGATATTCCGTACAGATGGTTGAGGTGACACCATGTTTAAAACAAATTTTTGGGAGGGTGTGGTCCTCATAAATGGAAGCCCATACGACAAAGCTTTACCCTGCTTGCCGATATTCGAGGACCTAAGTGAATACAATCACGATAGTGCTTACTTGGGGCCGGCCATGATCGAACGACTTCCTTTTTTAAAATTCTAGTGACAAGACCAGTTTGGTATATAGATGACATGTGCCTCAAAAGTGTTTCACGGGAGCCATCTTGTCCAGAAAGTGTTAGCTTTGGCCCTCTCCCATACTTCTGCGGATCATTTTCGCCCTGTAGAATCTGTCTTCTTAGCTCCCTGGGCATTTATGCGACACAAGGAGCCCCTGAAGCGAGTCAATCATCCCAGTGGCCGGAGTTTTTGAAAACCTTCAAGCGTTCTTTAAGCCCACGAGATGGTGTGGGATCGTCACTCGGTCGGCCCCCGGCAGCACTTGAGCGCACTCGGAGCTTGTAAAACTGTTGTTTGTTGCAATGTAAGATGCGCTGGGTGTTTTGACAGCTTTGGGGCGCGTTCGTGTTCAGCTTGTCCTTTCCATTTCCCGTGAGCTCCTTTAAAACGGTCAGGCACAACTGTCAAGATGGAAATGTCTCCCTCTGAGCGAGGGTCAGGAGAGTAAAATGGTGGGTGCGAATATACGACATCGCTGATGTTATGGCGCTCAAGTTAATTGTAAAATTGTTCTTTTGGTAAAAGAAATAGCGTTAAAAAATTCTGGTCAAAAATATTCAGTTACCGTTTTTACAAGAAGTCGATTTGTGTCTTCTTTGTCCAAGAACTTAAAATTTTGCACAGCTGTTGTTTTCTTACGGAAGTGTAAACTACGGCGCTCTTTTATTACAGTTTATAGCCCAAGCACTATATGTGCTTTATTTAGTCTCTCAATATTACAATATCTGCCACTGCAGAGTAAAGCAGAGAGCATTCTACGAAAGTAACCAAATTGATCAGGTGATCCCTGGATTCAGCGATGAAGCTTTTGAATGTCAGCACGCATGCAACGACGGATCCAGAGCTAATGTTGTTTAGTTTTTTTTTTGGGGGGGGGCTTGTTGTTGGTTGTTGTTTTTTGGGGGTTGGCAAAAACTGTAATCTTTTTAGCCTTTCTGGGCGTGAGGGTACATTTGGGGCCTTTAGAACGCTTTTTTAAAGGGAGGGAAATGAAACAGACCAATATGTGTGCCTTTTTCTCAGTTTGTTTTTAAATTTTGGCTGGGGGGGGCAGGGGGCATGGCTCTCGTTCCCCCCGCCCATCCGCCGTTGGACAATGTGCTACATCAAGGCCCATCGATGCTCTGTAGCTGCATGGTTTATAACGTGATCGGTCAAAAGTAGTCCGTGCCTACATGCACATGCTGCTGTAAGGAGTCCGATAAGAGACGAAACAAGCTTTAGTCATCAGAATTTTCATATATGCAAGGCTATCCTTCATGCATTACCGAGGAGTATTATGCTTAACATTAGTGGAAAATAGGTATAATATGAACGATGTCTATCATGTCTCCCTGTCAGACTATGAAGGGAATCAAACATACAACCCATGCCATGCATGACTTTAAGTTTTCCCAAATTCACTCCAAATCATAGACCTCTTCTCATTTTACTGGCATTCGTAGTCTGATCTTTGCACTACGCGTATTGACCTTTGATTTCACACACTAAATTATTTTTCACGACGGGGAATCCAGACTTTGTATATTCCAAGGCTCTCTATCCGGTTTTCTTGTAAGTGCTTTGCATCAGCAACATATTTCAGTTCATACAAAACGGTTGTAACTAAATCTAAACACAGTCCTTTTGGTAAAAGTTGCCGAGTACTCATGGCTAGCGAAGATTTTAAATTAGCACAATCAACGAGACGCTACCAGAATTTCAGAATTTCATTAGGGTGAAAAATTAATTAGATTTCTCTGTTTTAGATGATTTTCAATACAAAATTTCAGATGTACTGCATTATGTAATACTTATTCTAAACTTATTTCTTTTTCTCAGAAAGAGAATTTGAGATCGGAGATAGCATTCGAAACCATGGTCTCAAAGCACGTTGAAGCCGTTTGTTATAGGGGTAGGAAAATCCTCATGTACATGTCAATGCTATAAAGGCCATTTGTATCTAGATTGATTTATTGGGTTATATCCAACTGTGTTTCATTGCCGATTTTAGCCGTTTGTAAACTGGTTAATAAATAGAGATCACGTTAACTTAGGGTGTGTTTTGTTATTATATATACAGCTGTGATTTTGAAATCCTTGCTAGATTCAGAAAGCTTTTTCTGTACGTATGAGAGAAAATTATTTGATCTGTGAGATATTTTAAAATCGGGTGTTCACGCTACGTCTACTTTTAGGGTATCTGTTTGGAAAGAAGAAAGCCACCTGGTGTACTTGGTGAGAAATATTTCCTTTTTTGTTAAAAAAAAGAATCAAAAGCTTTAGATTTCCTTGGATTTCTCTCCAAGGAAAAGCCAACATGCAGTTGTTAATGCGATGGGGCGCCGCCATGGTTGGCGGACAGCCACCCTTTGTCTGGCTTCTTTACGGCGACAGCTGCGTCCGGGGAAACGTGTACATCACCTGCGCGTGCAATATAATAATGCACATCATATAGTGCTGTGGTCTAGAATACAGCGTTGGGATAATGAACGCCGTATTCAAATCACGGCCAGCCCCGACCAACCATTGATGAGAAGGACCCCAACTTTTTTTCTCTCTCTCTGTCTCTCCCTGTCTTACCTGTATTTTGCAAGCATCCCGTTTGTTGTGTTTTCTTCTCCCGGTATTATTGTTGCCGATGTGCGTGTGTCTGTGTATATGTCGACCCTGGTGTCACAAAAACTCGTAATCAGTTCCTCTTATCTTCAGCAGCACGGGGAGTTATAGGTCCGCTTCGTGCGCCGTCCTGTCGCTCACGTTACCCAGGGGTTGTCGTTTACAATCCAAATCACCGGTACCCCATCTCGGCGCGTCGTTGTGTCACACCAGTGAGTCTCAATCCCTCCGTCCAAAGCCTCCGGTTTGTTTTTTAGGGGATAGGAAGAGAACCTTCCAGTCCCCGGGTCTGATGCCCGTTTGTCATTCCAGCCGGCATTCCACGGCCATCCCCGCTGTGTGCCCGACCGCGGCGACTCGGCACTCCATTCTGCTTGATTTTCCTCCCGTTGCTTGCACTTTGAGACCGTATATCAGAGCATTTACAAACAAAAAAGTCAGTCCAATATTTAACATAGTCTCCAGAGCAAATGACACCAAGCACTTTGTTATATATTACATTTTTATTTGAAGTTCAGCCGTTCCTCTGTTGACTTAGCCAAGCAATGCTTCAGAAGTGACTAGTGCCTATATGGACTCCAAGCAAATTGGCCATATTTATGCTAAAATGTGTTTATCGATCTCACGGAAAAATAAACCCCTCCAGATTTTTAAGAAAGATATGGGGGATGAGTCTATATAGTTAGTAGCGAGGGTCTCGCAGACCATTTTGGGCCTGGCTTTGTTTATATCTTGTGTTTTAGTGGATTTTTCCCTTCAGGAGTGTTTGCTCGCGTGGTTATGGGCTGTATTATATCCACAAATCAGAAATGATGACACCGACACCACGATGCGATCGAATCACTTAGGGGAGTGGGTTTTTTGCGTGGTTTCGTCAGCGCTATATCGGCATTTTTTCCCCTTTTCTTCCTCCTTCTCCGGGCTGGGAAGTTTGCTCTGCCTTCGGGGCAGTCATCCAATCTGCAGTCTGCAATACGATGACATTCCTTATGGTTTGCTGTCGGCCGTTATTGGCCATCGCTATGCGCTTGGCTTTTCAACTTCAGGCTTTGAAGATGAAAACTGGAGTCAATGAGGGAGGGTCCCAATCCCATCCCCTTGTTGCTTTGCTAGTTTGTATCACTTTCCCGTCTAATTATGGAACACACTCCCTTCAACTACCCTCCCCCGGCTCCGAAGAATTAATCCGCACTGCACCGGAAAGGGGACAACTTGAACTTTTCAAAGTAACAAGTGACCCATCGGTACCGACTTGATTAGTCAGGTATCCCTAACCCAACCCTTGACCACATTCCTCACTTTGTGCGTCACATTGTTTCTTATGGCACATTTCCAGGACATACCTAGGCGTCTATTCTAAAGAAATTAGATACCACCACAGATTCGCCTCCTATTTTACCCCCCGGTCGAATACTTATGTCATCCGTCACACAACCGACGACAGAGGGTCCCCGCGGGGAGAGACGGGCGCCTTCTTCTTGTAATTAACTCATGAATGATTGAGTAGTTGGGCTACTAATATCAAACATATATCAAGTATTCCCTACAGGTGACGCTTGTCTTCAGGCAAGTCCGTTGGCACTTACACGACTCTCTATCCCTGCCCTGCCCCCCCCCCATCATGCAAAGTTGTAGCTCCGATGATTGTTGTCAGAAATGGTCATCAGAATTACCACAGTACATTGGATTTGTTAATTAAACTAATATGTCCTACCGTACCTTGGCCCTGCCAATGAAGCCACTCCTTTCCCGTTTTTATGCTCATCAACTTGTCTAAAACACTTAATACCCAAAGCTTCTTGTAACGATCGTTATCACATTTCCCCACCAGTTAAAACTCACTTTTAATTATAGATATACCTTATATTCAACTCCCATCTGCTAGCTACCAAATACGCTCGACCCTGCCTCACCCTGTTTGTCCACCCCCCTGCTCACCGTTTCCTCCTCGGTCTCTCATTTCCCCCTGCGTGCAACCTTGTTATTAATAAGGTAATATTTTGGACTTTGCGATATCCCCCCTTCATCGAAACTCCGGGTCGGCACCGAACCTTGGACAATGAGTAACACCCTCACAAGTTGCTTATTAACCCACCCTGAGTTAGCATTAACCTGCCCTGATTAATAAATGGCATGAGGGTCGTGTACCTAGGTGAAATATTAACTTCCCTTGAATCCTTTCATGAATTATGTAAGATTTCCCCAACAATGATTGAAAATGATTATAATTATGTCGACTTGCTGTTTGCCATTCGGATGGTCTGTTCTGCACCTTGTCCGTGACATTTTCCGCAAATTTCAGGGCAAAATTCCCTCCGATCTGCTGCGTCAACGGTTTCGAGAACAAAATTTCTCAGAGCACTCTTGCCCAACACAGGGTTCTGTTCCGTTCACAGCAATCGGAGCAAGCGCAGAGAAGTTGTGCACTTTCATCGACAAATTTGCATGCGGCTTGCGTGGCCAATGCGAACAGCGATGAATCCGACTTTTGTGAAACAACATCGACGACATCGTCCGTTTTAGCACTTTGTGTAACCATGCCTTGAAAAACCTGAAAGGCAGTCTCAGTGTGGAATGCTGCTCCCAAGAACATTTCAACGACAATCTTTGTTTGAAATTACAGAATTACAGTTATGAAGGAGTACTGTTATACCGGTAGGTTAATAGATTATGTTTATACTTAATAGCAAACTAACAAACAAGAAAAAACCAACAAATTATCTGAGTGATATTTTGGATTAAATCAATCCTTTGTTACATTGTAATCTACAGTGCAGGTTTTTTGTTTTGGGTTGAAGAGAGTTTACACGACCATCCAAAAATCAGGTGTGAAACTAACATCAAGACGGCCCGGAGATGCTGTTTAAGAATGATTAAACAGGCAAATTATGTACAGCAAACTGGCACAAATAGCTGTCGTCTTTAAGGGAATTGTTTAGAAATGCTGAATGAATATTCAAAACTGAGGAGAAGAGGTCACAGTGCCGTTCATAGCTCAAGGGTATTCCGTGAGAAAAATGCTGGCTGACGGTGTTTGTACAGCTCGGTAGTAAACCTTTCTAACAGCATTACACAAACAGTGTAAGAGTGGGCACAGAAAAGCCACGCACAGGCGCCAATTACGAATTCGGAGTTTGTACTAGTTTCTGAGATTTAACCCACAACCCGAACTCTCCCTCTCTCTCCATCGTTAGTTGCACGTGTATAGAGACCGTGGCTTCTGTTCATATATTTCCCTTCATCCATTTGTCCGCTCGTACTCTCGCCCAGCCTGTTCCCCCCATGGTCCACCAGAGAGAAATATAGGAAGGGTTTTTTTGGGTGTTTTTTTTTAAGGCGAACGTTGGCCGGGCCAATACACATGCAAAATGGGTGCGTAACCCAAGAAACCATGAAAAATTTATGTTGGTTTGGGCGACTGCACCAAAACTCCCCTGAGACGGAGCTGGAGCAAAGAAAGCCTTGGCTTTTTGCCCGCCGGCGTGGTCCGAGTCTCACAAGCCCAGCCTCAGGTACAATGGAGGACGTGAAGGCCCAGGGTAGGTGCGAATCGGTTAATTGGGCTGTATTTGCCTAAGTGTGTACTGTTTTGCTTATCATGAGCGATGGGGTGACTCGCCCGCTGTGTTGAGCGCTCGTAAAACCGCCAGCGCCATCCATCCATTGGCACCTCTTGTTTTGGGGAGAGCTCATCGGCTCTTTAGTCGCGGGTTTATGGTAGACGCGGCAGGGGGAGACGGTCTCCTTTATATACGCAGCCAGGGCGCGGCTGGAGCTTTCTGAAGCCAGATTACGGCTATCACCACCACTTCTTAGCACTTGGCTGATATTGTTCTTGTCTCGTAATCGGCTCTCAAGTCAAGACCGAGGTCTCTGTGGTCGTGTGCCGCTAATTGCTCGACAAGAAAGAAACCGAAGTCCACCAACAATCGCCTAGAACTTTGTGGGGCGTTTACGACCAACACCACCCCAATGCTGCTCACATACCCTGCGCTCCTACTCAATTCTCTTCATCATGTTCTTCGGTTTGCTGCCCCAGTAAATCCACAAATCATTGTTCATTTTATTCGCTGACACAGAACCATCCACACATTCCTTTTCTGAACAGCATTCTACAGATATTTATTCCCCTCTTGTATTGTACACGTGCAGTGCCGACCGGTTCAGTGAATTAGGCATAACCACTTTTCAAAGGAACATAAATAAAAATATTGTAAAAGCGCAATCTTTGATCGATACTTGTTTTCCTTTATTATGCACATCTTATCTTTATTAAAGTTGGGTTACCGCCCTCCACTTCCATAAGTGTGCAATTGCAGAGACAGGGAAAAGTTTGGATTACATTTCTCCCTTATTTTGTTCCCACCCAGAATAGGCCTTTAAAAGAATATATCAAACGCAAACAGTAAATGACATCTCAACAAAGTCATTCTAGTTCATGTCATCGAATATTGACATGTACGACTGGTGTAACACACGCTCTTGAGGGACAACACACATCTTGATGGCAGCAAAAACAACATTCATCAACAGCTCGCGCGGTATCCATATTTACCCTACATTCAGGGATTTATATTTAACCAAAGAACAGTGTTATTAGCTGTCTGTCAATTTATTCATTCATTTTCCAGTCAACACAATCCATATCGTCTCCAAGTAAACACCATACAGTCAGGCACCACGTGGCCTCGGTTTTTACTAAATCAAAAAAGATCTCGCGTTTCCCTGCCGTGCAAATACACTCGCTGTGTGTACATTCAACTTCTAATATTTGGGTGTGTAATCACCTACAAATTATAGTGGGAAGCGCGGGCTCTTAAACGTTGCCCCAGGCCGTACACCAATCTTAGATTGCCGGGCTTGGTTCCCGCGTAACCCAGCGGCAACTGCCCTAGTCGGATACCTCGACGGACGAGAGTTCTCACTCGCCCGCTCAAGAGCGCAATAAACGTGCAGATCGCCGCGGCTGGGAAAGTGCATAGGTTTTGAGGATGTCAACAAAGCAGACGCGTTACAATCAGCGATATTGCGTCCCTGCTCCTGAAAATCTTGGTAAGCGAAAAAAAAAATCATTTCCTGGCAGTAGAGAAAGGAGTCCTGGACCTCTGATTTTTAGCAGAGCTCCACCGAACCCCATCCTGGCGTTCAAATCCCCCACCATAATTTACTGTGCGCCGAACTAAAATGAGTATGTAAGCCCCGCGACAAAATGAGAAAATGGAGGACGGGGGATTTTGTTTCCCTAACCCCTGGCCCGGTTGATACGCTGCGATGTTGACCTAGCCGCTGAAAGGGGCAGCCTTTAAGTTGTGATTGACCCACCTCGTCGACACCCGACACTCGCCCGCCATTACCGCTGAATGGGACGAATACGCTAATATGCAAGTCCCCGTTAAATAGCGCGGCAAGGAACGTCCCTGCCGCGCCGAGCCTCGGCCCTGCCTCGCGACAGCCGGGGCCGCCGCTAATGCACTCGGATTCGCTCTTCCGAAACCCATGCACGTTTCTAAAAGCCTTTGCAGGGGAATCGAAATTCTGGCGATAATAAGTAACCGGGTGTTATTTCTCAAATTAATAGCTTCTCAAATGTCCGATCTCCACCGGGCTGCGGTTCTATGTACATATTTTGGGCAGCCTAGATTCGATCTTGCAATCCTACAAATTGCTACACCTGGGTTATCATTTTTATTCTTTGATATTTTCCACCCAAACAAAATCAACACCAACATAGTAATTGTCCTTTTTCACTGTTAGAGCAATTGTTCCTCTTAAATCAAGCAAAAGCGTCCTCCGCTGAATCAGAGCATCCAAAACATATTTTCACTTTTTATATTTGCAAGAGATGAAAAAGATTCTTTGTTCAAGTCCACAATCCACTCCTTAAAATGAACGCTTGATAGTGAAATAACTGGCATTTGTTTCATCTGGCCTGGCCGTATCATTGGTTTAAAATGCCACATTTGGACATCATGTATTTTGCTCAATGAAGGAGAATGAGCGAGTTGGCCGTGGATGTTGATTTCCCCATGGCATTCTAAATATCAATATGAGCCAACGTTTGGCAAATATGTTCTGTTTTTGAGTACTATGGGGACTGCTTAATGGACGTACAGACAGTTCCTACGCATAATGTGCACGACTAGCCCTTATTTCTGTGACAAATTCCCATGGACAGATCTTGTTATTCGGGCGCTGTACATCTACATGTAATGCAGTAGCGCTTTTTGGCAGGAAAAGGTGTTTCACCTGTGGCTGAAAAACATATCGGGAGAGAAGATTATTTTAAAAGAAGTGAAGTTTAATATTAAACAAAATAGAGACTGAACAACAAGGAAGAGAAGTGAGACGTAGAAATTATATTGAATTGCTGACCTATAAGGTTGACAACACGACCTTGCATTGTTATCTGGATTAGTAAGAAAAGAATGGTCACAGAACTTTGTGGGTTTTTTCGTTGGTAGATATCCCGGACTTTTGTTATCGCAAACAGGTCCAAAGATCGAGTTAGAAAGACCCACACTGCACACGCTCAATTCGATAAACCCAGCATGCCGGCCCCGAAAAAAAAAATCTATTGGGTACAAGGTCCGTGCCGAAGCCATTATCTGCTGGCCGTGGGATTATGGCTTTTGCCCCGTACCTCCTACCTAAAAAAAACCAGAAAGGTTCAGCAACACAACCATAAATGGATAACTTATTAAGAACTGAACCCGCCAGCGAACCATAAACGCAACAACCCGTATCATCTGTTGAGAAATTCATGTAGAGATGATAACGCCTCCTAAAAAAGATTCTTGTCGTAATTTTTCATGTCGTTATATGGTGGAGTATCGGCGGCTGGAGGGCAAAATTTATGCTGCCTGGTCATGTTACAATGGTTGCCGGTGACTCTTTTAAGGCGAAAAAATGCATGGGGCCATTGGTGATTGTGGTCGTTTATGAGGCAAGCCGCGCTTCAACACCTGATTACGAATTCGTCTCGCATAGTATATGTCCTTGTCTCCTACCCCCGGCCACCCTTCGCCAGAGAATCGGTGACGTCCAGTGCTGCAGATACACTCAGGAGTTCTCATGAGGTTGGAAGATATCACAAACCTACTTCACCTTTGAAGTGAAACTTTTATTAAAGCAGACAGTATTAAAAACAAGTCCTTTTTAATTATTTCTACCGGTTATTATTCAGTGAAAACTACACCGACAAGCAACATACCCGCAAATTTATTTGCTCGTGATCAGGCCGCATGAAGCAAAGCAAGACACGCAAGTCCTAAAACCTGTATGGTCTTGATTGACAATCAGACTACTCGAATTTAGTTCTCCAAATTCCTTATCAAAGGTTGGGAACTTAAAAGCAGAAATACATGTTCTTCTTAATTGGAATGGTACCATCCCCCATTTCGCAATCGAAGATGTTCCTTTTTGCCTATCCATATCTTAATATTAAAAACTGAGAAGAATTGATTGTTTTCATGCGATGAACATTGACAGGCGTGAGACTAAAGCGAGATGACCGATCTTCGATATTCATTTGTCAAGCACCAGCGAAAAGATTGCGGACGACCGATATCGCCAAATTTAGAGTGAAGCCGGGCCATGCCGAGACGGGTCTGAGCCCCGACGGCCAGGGCATTCCGCTCACTTCGGCACGCATGGAGCAGAACAAAATCGACTTGTAAATGTGATTCCAATGGCGAGTGATCTCCGGGCCGGTTTGTCTGGGCTGTGTATCTCCTCGGGCGGGGAAGGGCAGAAACGCTCAAACTAATCGGTTGGAGAGCTCGCGGAGACCCGCTGGATTTCCCTCATCGACCGGTCCTTGGTCGATCATGAGAACATATACTTTACAATTTTACTTCAGGGCAAAAAAAGGAATCAACCCTGATGAACGAACAAATTACAGGTGTAGATGGTATCCAGATCGGAAGATGTTTTTTGCTGTGAAGTCAAGTACATGCAATTTCCTGCTGAAATCATTTGGAAGCAGCTGACCGTACCAATTTTCACCTTTTTGAAAAACAAAATAAAAACAAAAAGGTCGTTTGGATGAGCTCACATTATCATTATTATTACATTATTACAGCGCAGTTTGCATTTTCCGTCTTCCAACTTTCTGGACGATAAGTAAAAGAAAAAGAATTAAAACAGGACTTCGATTAGGAGTGTTTGTTGACGAGTTGAATTTCTCTTGACATAAATACAAATCTGCATTCAATAAATTTGACATGACAGGATCTTTTCATCTTGCTTTTCAAAATCTGCTTGTTTGACCAATGTGTTTTTTACATTCAAATATCTGTTGTGAGCATGTCTCTGCAGAAAAGAATACTGGAAAGGGTGAAGATCACGAATCACATTGGTTCCCATGCGCGTCTCCAGAATACCAGTGGCAGGTTTTCCTTGATCTGTTTTATTTTAAAGAGTGGCTACTGTTGGAAAAAGTTCTAAATTAAGACAAAATGCTGAGGGAGAGAGATAGACTTTGGTATTAGGAGACAATGAGGAATACATTTCGCACTAAATCAGAGTCTGCTCTCAATTCACCTATTTACCTCCGTGCACGTTCTAGAAGAACCCGTTGCCACACTATTCTTATTCCTCTTTCGAACTTTTTACCTTAGTTTTGTCAACACGGTCAATTGCTTGGAAACAAATGGGATATCTACCCTTCCCTTTCCTCTAGAGCAGAGACCGGGTCGTGTGAACAAGCCGCCGGGCCTGCAGGCAGCGGACGAAACCGTAGCAATTCAACGTGTACACCGACCAGTAACAATAGAATTTTGGGAGGTGTGAAAACCCTATTAGGCCGGCAGAGTCGGCCGCATCGTCGTTGGTGCTCAGGTCAGCCATAGCGGACCCGGATACATTACACATCAACCGCGTGGTCGACCGCCTCTGCCGTCTCAGCCAGCCTCAACACAGACCAACCCTGACAAGCAATGGTGTCGCGACAACAGCAGAATTTTCTTTTTAGTAGAAATGCGTGAAGGTTTGTTCCCGAAACCATCCACTGTGAGAGACTTTTTTTCAATCAAAAGAGAATTCCAGATTAAAAATCCTTTCGTGGGCCACACTTTGTCAAAAAAGGTTATGGGTTATAAAGGCGGTTGAAATTTCCGAGTCGTGTATTGCATTCGGGCTGACCGCATTGAATGAAAGAGAGGATTAAACGGCAAATAAACCCAAAGAAAAAGATAAATAAACTCCACATTAACAGCAAAGAGAACACACTCGTATGAAATAAATTTGCTGCACACAGAACCAAATTTTACTTTTGGAAACAGATTTATTCAGCGAACATTTTCCATCTGGAGGGAGATTCCTAACAGTTCGAAGGAAATTCAGAGAAAAAGGTAGAAGTTTATGAATCATCGTATTCGTTTTTTTTCCCTTTATACAGTAAACAATATGTGTACAAAAGGTGGCTCCATAAAAAGGCGAGAACAGCGATGGTTTTCGATTATTGTATGACCGATGGAGTGAGCCTCATTCGAGTGCCCCAGGCATGTTTGATGATGACGCAGGGCAAACTGACATGGGTAAACTTTGGCCGGTGTTTTCCTCAAATATGAACAGCTATCCAAGCTTAGACACAGCGAAGAGTGTTGAAAGTGTACCGTCCCTGTACCCGATTTCTCTGCTCAGAAATATAAACACGACTTTGGCTAAAAACAGGCACAAAATGACGTCGCTATAACAAGCAAGAAAAATGTGAAAGATGTATATAACAAACGAGGTCTTCACCCAAAAAAATCTCTAGGCCTATACACTACTAAGAATATCGCAAGTATTTGTCATTGGTAATATGATTTATCACGCAATCACTGTCGTATCTTACAAGTGATTCAAACTCATCAATTATTTGGCACTTCAATCAAGGTTTTTTCCATCACAAATGAGATTTTTTTTGTTAAAAAAATAAGAAATACAATAGAATAACAATTATCAGTGTGTGGACCTCCAACGGAGGTACAGCTTCATAAAAACACAGTGAAGTTCACTCACCAACCGCTAGCTATTGCAGTAATATACACAATAAAATATCCGATGTTAGAATATTGTACTCATTCGGGGGAAAGGTTGACCCCGGTTTCAGCCAAGAGCCACATTCGAAATGAATATGTATGGAGTTACATCCAAACCATCTGAGTTTTTTACCATCCAAAATATACAACGCATTTTGCAATTTGATTTAAAGAAAAAACCTGACCTGAATTTTTTTGTTAATTTCTAGCAGATGAATTTGGTTCTGAAAAAGACTGAAGAGTTCGGCGAAAAAACATATATTAAACGATAGCATGCTTGTAAATTACACATCTTTGGCAGAGTTTTTATGCTACATTGTAATTTTCCAAAAACCTGCTTTTTGCCCACACATGATAATAGACAACTGCCATTTCTTCTGTTATGCAATCGGACCAAGTTTGAAGCAAGGCAGTGCTGAACATAAATGCCAAGTCCAACTTTGCTGAATTGAAAACAACGGTTGCATTGTTTTGTGTCATTTTTGTATTTGAATATTTGCGTTTGTTAGACTGGGAAATATCGGCCACACGCAGACTTCCAACCGACTCATAAGCACACTCCTCGAATGTGCGAGGTACTTTAACTCAGAAATGCAGCACATTGAAACTCCATTTTGACTTGGTTACTTCAATTACTTGAGTTGCTGTCATGAACCTGCTTCAAATGATATGAGAAGCAGATACAATGTAAATTGACTTAACCACTCATCTCTGGCTGTTTGAAGAAATCAGAATGTTCACTTCTTTCACAGTGATCGTCGGTTGTGAGATTTGTACACTAACCCTATCTAAAATATATTGACAAAACTCTAAGCCACTAGTAAAATATAACAATATCAAATAAATAAATATCAACGAATCATATCTGCCTTGAGTAAACGTTCGTACACATCGGCTTCTCACGTAATGTGTACACTATGATTTGGGAATTGTTTTCACGATCAATATGGAGGAAATTTCAGAATCACATTTTCAGATTACTTTACAACATTTGAATTTCCATGACATCAACGAATTTATAAGTTACTTAGTTCAAATAAACAAAGTCACATTTAATGGTCATGTGATTGTCGAGTAGCCTAGTTTATCGAAATACATACAAATGAATGTCTAAAAGGTTTTGAGCGTTTCTGTCATTTGTACACGTAAGGTCGACAGAATGAACGTATGGATTAAACGTACCAGTTTTTTCGGTTTGGTTGCACTGTTGTTTACATAGTGTGGTTCGCTGTGGCTAGCTGGCTGTATGTTGCTTCCCCGCTCGTGGCAGGTATTGAATAGTCCATTGACGGTTTAGCCATGGGGCTCGTCATGCTGGGCATTGAGTTATATGGTGCGTAAGCCATAGCCTCATACCCCTTCATGTCCAGTTTGTGTTCTGACGAAATGATGCTGTTTATGGAGAAGGGGTGCGTGAAGGAGGGGTGTTGTCCTCCGGGTCCGAACATGGCTGCAGGGTAGGTGCCTGGCATGGCCGTCATGGAGGTCATTGAGGCTGCTGGGTGGGCAATAGGGCGGGTTGGGATACCGGCACTGGCCATGCTCGCAGGGGGCGGTGACATGGACGGCGGCTCCATCTTGTGCAGGTCAGGGTGGTGGCCTTGGTGATGGTGATGTTGCTGCTGCTGGTGATGGTGGTGCTGCTCGTGGTGCTGTTGGTGTTGGGGTGGTGAGGCCATCTGGTGGTGGGATTGCAGCGGGTTGTGGGTGTGCGGCACGTCGGTCGTGTCGTTGCTGACCGGTGTGGACGCGTTGGACACCGTCACGCCGTCTGCTCGTCCGTTCTCCCCGTGCTCGTCGTCGTCGTTATTTTCCTCACCCTCCCTCAAGTTGTTCTTCTGCTCCTTACGCAGCGATTCCTTCTTGGGGCACTTGAAGCGTTTCTGTCGCCGGAGATAGCAGCCGTTCTCGAACATGTTTCCAGCGTCAGGATGGAGAGTCCAGAAGCTGCCTTTGCCCGGCCGGTCGGGCGTGCGCGGCACCTTGACGAAGCAGTCGTTGAAAGACAGACTGTGGCGGATGGAGTTTTGCCACCGCTGCTGGTTCTGGCGGTAGAAGGGGAACAGGTCCATAATAAACTGATAGATGTCGCTCAGCGTCACCATCTTCTGCGGTGACTGCTGGATGCCCATGGTGATGAGGGAGATGTAGGAGTAGGGTGGCTTGGCGTGAGTGTATGACCGGCGATAGGTCTTCTCTGCCCGGACGCGGTTCAGCGTGTCAGCCTGCGCCTGTGCCTGGGCAGCCAGCCTCATGCTCATCGCCGCCGAGTTGTTGATGCCGTTCATGCTGTTCATCGTGCCCATGCCGTTCATGCCGTTGAAGCCGGTCATGCCGGCCGCCGTCATGGAGTTCATGCCGCTCATAGAGTTCAGGTTGGCCGGCATACTGCCCATGCCCCCGTTCATGCTCATAGTGGACATGGTGGACATGGAGCCCATGCCTCCGGCCGCCGCTGCCGCCGACATCCCGTTTGTGTAGGAGTTCATCTGGTGGCCCATGGTGTTGATGGGGCTCATGGAGTTGCTCATGGTGCTCATCGGACCCATTGCTCCCATGGAATTCATATTCTGGAGCGTTGGAGAGCTAGCAGGGTGGTAGGCCGACTTGGGCGAAATCATGGCGCTGTTTGCCATGGGTTCCCCTCTATTCGTTGGGATACCCTCTCTCTGTGCGTGTGCCTCAGTCTGTCTCTATCAGTGGCGCAAGACACTCCAATCCGTGTTCCGTACGGGTGTGCGTGTGTATTCAAACTGTCATCCCTCACTAGTGCATTGGTGAGGATTATATGCGCCAGGCTGTAGAGCGAAGTGACCTATGTAAATACGTACAACGTAGGCTAATTAATAGGCCACGCCCCCAGGTTGTGCAGAGGCAAATCATCGGCACCATTCATTCGCTGCTGACAAATTGGCCTGACGGACCACCCATTTATAGACGTTTTGTATTGAACCGCTACAAGTGTCAATCACTGAGAAGCAGCCAAACACTCCGAACAACAGAACTTCAACCACACGGGATAGTTTCCCCGCGTGCATTTTTCTGCATCTACCAAATTTTAGCCCAACTCAACCGCACACCGTCCAAAATACTCCCATGGAAAAAAGTCATTGTTACCGTGATTATCGAGCGAGTTAGCTTTTTGTACCTCTTATTATGATTTCCTGAAAATGGTGACATGGCAGAAAATAACAAGAAGAATGGATATCGGCGAGTGCAAAAGGGTAGCTTTCCACACCTGAGCGAGCAAGCGACGTGACGGGTCTTGGGGGGAACCGTCCATGTAGGTGACTGGCTCAGCTCAAGCATGACGTCACCCCTATTGTTGGAATGATTATCAAGCCGGTCCTATGTTCTGACACGTACACGTACCACAATGATCAGTAAAGGAGAATATTCAATAGGTACACGGAAAGCAATAACATGAACCATGGGGTTTTTCTTTATGGCTGGGAGTTTAATGGGGAGAAAATGACCCTGTTCCAGTGTCGGCACTGCACCAGCAGTTCACAGGATCCTTATTCGCTCTCTGAGCCGAATTCCCGATATAATAGGCGGCTCCTAGTCCCAACTCAGCCGCGTTGTTACCGGTCTTTCCCTGTTAACAGAAAGCCAACTGGTCAGCGGTCACAGCACCTAATAAAAGCCGTCAACTCCAGCTTTTCCACGGTGCAACTTTTCTTTGCAGAACGCGGCCGACAATGTACTCGCACCTAGGTGCGAAAATGTCAGCTCTTTATTTCAACTGCCGGCCCGTCTATACCAAAAGAGGTCTGTTAATAAGCATCAGATGTAGCCGGTTAATCTTTGACTCAAAAGCCCAAAATAACTATCCGAACAAAACAAAACATGTAAGAGCACTGTACTAGATTTTCTTTTTATATTTCGTGTGTAAGACCAACGAAAAATCCCCCAAATGATCACAAACTAAAATAAGCCCAATTTGGTGAATATTTATTTTACAGTCACTCATAATTTAAAACAAACGATTTAATTTTTCTCAAAGTTGAGTCTGTCAGCAAAAGTAATTTGTTAACCGAGCCATTTCAAATGTCTAAAATTAATTTGCTCACAGATATTTGATTTCTATAGTTTGGAGGGTGGTTTTCTTTATCTGTTGAAAATTATTCCACTTTTGAGAAAAGCTGCATCTATCAGCAAGTCGAGGATTTTAACATAAAATATTCCGGGCCTCGCTGTCAATCATATGGTAGCCCCTCCGTCCATTATCTGCCATTTATGTTTATTTATGAGGAAACAGCCGACATACGGCATTGGGCACGCCAACATTGAGAGAGCGAGCAAGGCTTGTGAAAACCGCCCTCTGTGTCGAAGAAGGGCAGGTTTTTTTTCGTAAGGATGCCTCATCTGGAGGGGAGCAATGTTGGTCTGTATGGCACCGGCGGAGGCATCACTTTGTATAACAGTTATCATATGGAATATAAATGCAGTGACTAGACTTGTTTTCTGGCAAAAGGAGTAGATAAATGAGAAGAACAGACACCCAAATCTCTGTAGTAAATGAATAACGTCAACGAATATAATAAAGGTTAGCTTTATTTCTGAGTCCCCCTCTTTGGCAAAGTGAAAGTTCTCATTGAAATCAATGTAAACTGTAAACTTCCGTGACTTCCGTGTAGGACAGCACGACCTCTAGGTTAAAATAACCTTCACGGCATGCTGTGTACCTGAGAGAGCAAAAACTTGTATCAAGCACTTTACAGCTTCACAGCCACAGAAAGGTATGATTATAATCATCCGGGCTGATGAAGTTCGTATTATTTTGTCTCTGTGTCATTTCTGTTTTTTCTGCGCAGTGCTTGTGCCAAGAATGCTGGCCTGCGCGGCCGAGAAACGGGGCACTTTGTTGGTGAGGTTATCCTTGCATAAATCGAACAAAAAAGAGCATTCAGACGGTGTTTAGCTGTGAAAGCATGCCAAAAGGAAGGCTCGCAAGCCAGGGTGCACGAAACCGAATCAACCCTTGTTCAACCAGCCGCTTTTGTGGTGAGCTGAGGGGTGAAATGACGGGCTTTTTAGAGCCGTTCCCGGAGGGGAGAGCAGGGCAGCTTGTCAATGCATTACATATTATTGCAATGCAGTGGAACCAGACAAGTGGCAAATTCTATGCTCTGCTACTACCTTTTTCCCCCGATCTCTATTCGAAATTCTGCTGTAGTGTTGTGAGGCACGCACTTGCCATGTATATGCCTTGCTTTATATTTGTGGATGAGGGGATATGCATAATATGCTCGATTTACTTTGCAGTAATCTCACTCGGTCATATTGAGCAAAAAGTGGGCTGGATCTCTGCCCAGGGTTTTCACCCGTGACGGGTGCCACTGACAAGATTCGCAACCAGCAAAAAAATCCGATTGGGTCTGCACTTTCTGCACAGTCGTATTAGACACTATGGCATTAAGTCAAAGGTGATATTTCTGGGGAAAAAATGGCTGCCTCTGCATTAATGGTATAAGCAATTTGAGACCGGAATCAAATCTGATTTACGCACTGACAAATACGCCGATTTTTTTCACAATCTCCACATTGGATTGGACAAAGTGGGACGGCTGATTAACACAGCACATAGTGGTCAACAAGGGTTAGTATAATGGCATTAAAAAGGAAGCCTGAAGTCACCCTGATCTCATGAGAAGGGAAGATCTCAACGAATTATAACGTATATCAGCCATCGTTCCGTTCCGAGTGTGTTTGGGTATTGGCAGATTCAATGAAGAGGAAAACGGGGAATTTTCTCCCCTTCAAAAAAAGCGCTTTTGTTTGGTACTGTGTTTTCTATAACATTAATAATGATAATAATAACAATAGAAGAACGATTTAGGTGACTGTTACATTCCCTTTCCTTCCCAAAGTGCATAAAAACCTCGAATTTCAGCCTCACCCTCCAATAGACCGCAGGGGTTACCTTAAAATCACTCTCACATTTTTAGCCACCATAAAGACAAATTGCCCCTGGAAATTTGGTTCTGGATCTCCACTCGTGTTCAGCACGCTATTTCCATCGCACATTGGTGTGTCATTTGTCCAACAATTATATGATAGGAGCATTTTCACGCGCAGAGCTTCACGACTCCTATACTGGTATTTAGGGATCGATCTATGCCTCTGTGGTACGGCTGTATCGCATCGCCAGTTTTCTGTGTCGCAAAGGACCAACTGAGTTTATCTTCAGATCATCAATCGACAGAGATCGATGTTCATACCACTTTTAAAACCCACTGTGATAAGACGCCCCAATTTCTGATTGGGATTTATCTTTACAGCTTGACTCCAGAAAACGCTACAGGGTTTGAGGTTTTTTGGGTGGGGTTGTTAACGAGGTGTGACCAAATCTCATCCCCGGTCGTTTCTTCCCTTTCATACTCAGAAAAGGCTTTCAAGTTTGCCGAGCCGAGAATGACGTGCCAATAATAATTCACGAAAGAAATCTCCCAGTCTGCTGTACCTCATGACGAAAAAAGAGCAACATGACTGGTGATGGATCAGACTGTACCTCAACGCCATTGCCTTGTGGTTGATAAATTCTATACGCTGCTTTCTTTTCAAGAAACACCCATCAAAAGAATAGAATTGGTTAGCATTTAAAGATCATGCAGCTGTAGGATGGACTGAATTAGCAAGAAACATTTCCAAAGATAAATTTGGATTCCGTCCTCTGGAATGATGGGGCGTGAATGGGCGTGTTGAGGACAAGTCGTTCGCAAACCACTGTTAATTTTTGCGCAAAGTGATTATTGTCACCTTACAATGTTTGTAAACAAAACGCAGTTTTGAGGATTGTATGGCTCATGACGTCATGATCAACTATTTTGGAGCACATCTCTAGCTGTAAAGCCTTGTTCTTCGTCATCTTCCTTAAAACAGCGAACCCATCTCCATCGTCTGTACACACCATTCCTTAGTTCTAATGACTTTAAGGCTCGAAATGAGAACAAACCCGCGTGATCAAATAATGTTTCATCCTTACTTTCTCTCTGATCTTGATATTTTGAAGATTTAGAGGTTTAACGTGAAGCTAAGGAACCTTTAAACCTTATGGTTTCGGGCATAAAGCGCCAAAGATTGAAGGTATTTTGTCTTTCCTCTACAATGTTGTTTTGCATTCTGTTTATAAACTGTTCTTATTTACAATGTTTATACTCTTGATCGTACGCGACACACAAAAGACAGATCAGTATTACTTAGGGGTGTTTCGTCGTTGCAGGTAAAATAAAATCTTTAAATTGAGTATCGGTAATCTTTTTTTATGCTTTAAAGAGAGATGAACGTTCGTTTTGTGTCGATTTTCGATTTTCACCTTTTCGTCTTGTCCTTGAAGTGATGGGTTCCTTAGGGTGTAACTGGTTGGCACAAAGCGGGTCATCTCGCGGCCAGTTGAGGATATCGACTGGCAACTTTCAACGGAACACCTGGGCTATTGTCTCGGGGAAACGGTCGGCCTGGATACGGTCTTGGCTCGGGTGTACACAAACCTGACCACATAGTCACGTGCGACAAAAACAAGTAGATGAGCATAGCTTGTCTCGATGAGACGGGACCAAATTTAGACTGTTAATCGCCTCTTTTCATTCTCGGCCCGAGGTCTAACGCTGGCTTGACCCCGCCGGCTATAGCTACTCGCTACGGTAATATTGACGGGTTTCTCAAGTTAAGAGAGATAAAAAAGTGGCACTTTCTGCTAATGGTCCGGGGAAAATGCTAGCACGCAGGCTTTAGGTCGTGGGAAGAGGTCCCAGTAATCTTCTCAAAGCTACCGTAGATAAGCTGCTTTTGTTACACTCTTAAGCTCGCAGGGTGATTTTCTTCGTGGAGGGAGGGGAGTGAAGCCCGACACATAATGGCCCGCCTCGGTTCCGCGAGATTGGCAAGGTCGGCCCGGTGGCGAGCCCTGGTACAAATAAAGCTCCGGAAACTCACCCCAGAGATATAGCTTCGAGGACTTTCTAATATTACCCGTCTGCCTTTATTAAAAAAGAGGAAGATGATAACGATGATGATGATGGCAAAAGTAGAAAAAGGAAAAGACAGACCGAGATAAGGCAACCACTGGTTTGGTGGTAATAGGATATTGATGGCGGCACGCTCTCGGAGACTAGCATAGACTGGGCTATTGTGGGCTAATTACGCCGCTATTAGTGGGGCAAACG